TTTATTTTAGATTTCTCGTTAGACAAAGATAGAGAGTGAGAATGACTCTTTAGAGTGCGCACGAGATACAAAAAAGTTGCTAGAGAGTGAAAAAACATAGAAATCTATTTTTATTCAAAAAAATTGACTCTCCAAACGATGATTTAGAGAGTGACTTTTAGAAATACTTTTGAAAATGCTCTAAGGCCAGTCTTAGTGAAAATTTCATATGAGTTTCATTTGCATTAAATAGGTTGTTAGAGCGGCTCTAACAGTTTGGTTCTTCTTTATTTTGGAGGCTGTTTTAGAATTTGTATAGCTAAAAGTAGGTTTCAATAGACGTGCCATTTGGATTTGTAAATAGAAAGCTGGCTATCCTATGATTTTTCGGTCACCATATAAAGTGAACTAGCTAGCCATCTAAAGATGAGAAATAGAACAGTTGCTATAGACCTCTTTTTTTTTAGTAGTTTTTATTTTACAAAATAGCTAAACCGTAGAATTTGTCTACTAATTTTAATAAGCTGTAGGAGTTACTGTCACATGGCTATTTTTGATGACATGGTATTGTTGATGAATTTCAGGAGGAAAAAAGGGTTCATTCCACTGTGTTGCTAGCCGGCCAAAGCCTGCGGCGGCACACGTACCGCAGATCACGAGAAACAAGCGCGCGAAGCCCGGCAGGCGCGATGGCTTTGACGCCTTGACCGCGGTTAGCGGTGCGCGCACGCGTGGCAGCCGGTGCTGCGTGCAAGGCGAGGTCGGTATCCGCGCAGCCGAGGTATCGTGCAGCGGCAGCAGCCGGCCAGCCTTGCGTTGCTTCGTCGATCTCCCCGTTCAGCCCGTCGTTTTCTGAGGCGCGCTCGGTCGTTTTCGTGGTTGGGCTAGGACGTCGCGCCTGTTCGGTTGTTGGTCAGAGAAAAATACTGTTTCGGTTAGAAATTTACGATCGTATACGATAAACCACAGCTAAACCAAGAGGCTGAATCGCGCGGTTCGAGCCATGCTGCACTGAGACGAATCTACGATTGCTCTATAAAAACTGTTTGAACTTTTTCAGCTGAGCCATGCCGTGTGTAGCGCGTCGGATCAACGTGCCGTGCTGTGCCTTTCAAGATATCGCGCAAAATATCTTGGGGCTGCCTAAATTTATGCTCTCACCACTAGTACTACATCGGAAAAGGCTCCGCCTGTTAACGAAAACGAAAAAGAAAAAACTAAGACCAAGTGATCTCTAGCGACCGACGAGAAGTGCACACGTTAGTGTACGGATCAGGACCGCCATCAGGCAACGGGAACACGTCACCTCGATCCGTTCCCTTCCTCCTACAGTTCCCTGCTACTAAAGTCAGGCCCTCTTTCCGTCCACTTTTGTTTTGTACGTCCAAACAAATGTGACGTTCACTTAGGCTGATAAGTCATGACGAAAAATATTGTTGACTAATTTGTTATGAGAGAAAAATATTGTTCATTGGGTGAAAAAGTACGGCTTGGCTTATAAGCGAAACGAACGGGACAAAAACCCGTAACGTAATGCCGCGTGTGACAAAAGCAAGTGCCCGGTGGCTGGCTGGCTTGGCTCCCACTATCAGCGCAGAGCATGCGGTCTCTTTCTAAAGAACGGAAGAGAACGCGATGGGATCAGAACTGATGGATTTCTCGTATCATCACCGTATCGACTCGCCGAAGACTAACGGACCGTGTTGTTGGTATACATGCCAAGATCTCACTGCGTATATTGCAAAAGACATGTTTTTTTAAGCATATATATTATGGAAACATATTGGATACGGAATAGGGCAACAGGAGATATCAGGTGACAATACCGTTTGGGACCATCCAATCAGAGAAGGAAAGAATCGTGCTGTTCGGATTTTCATTTTTGAATTGAGACCGACGAACAAAGGCAGCAGCATGCACTAGCAATATCCTGGGACAAGTTTGGCGCCAATCTTCCAGTAAAGCTGATCGGATCAGGTGACTCACCACAGCAAGTTCGTGAGCTCGCATTCGAGGACGGGTCTGCAAAGTCTCAGCAGATTGACTGCAACAAAGCACATCCCCCCGCTGGTCAAGTTTTACGACTGAACCGCACACGAACTGACGAATTACAGTGGTGGGCGAGCACGCGACTTTTGCCAAACCCATTTGAACTTTCAGAGACCCTTGCCGATGCCAACCCACCCGGCAGGCCGCCACAGCACCGTGCATGCTTCCAGCCTAGCTATTGCTAATACCAGTATACCACAGAGATGCAGCCATGAGGGAGGGCGTCTGCAGACTGCAGTGCACGCACCAAGGGCCATGGATGGCGATTTTAGCGCAGCGCAGGAATGAGTGAGCCTACGAAAGGAGGCTTCGCACTACTAGCAGAAAAAAGCCGGTTTTACCTCACCATGCACCCTTCGGATCTGATGGTATCACCGTGCACCGAACTCCATTGCTCTCGGACCGCTTTATGTACGGGAGATCATAGTTTTTTTCAGATATCTTATGAATCATGATCCAGCGCCTTACTTTCCCACAACGTTTCAAACGAGGACACAGAGAGTGAAAAGTACTAGTGCGTGCCTGTGAGAGAGACAGACAGAGATATTGTCATATTGACCTTCAGAGCTGATCTCATGTTCCACTGCCTTATCGCAGCATAAAGAACGGTTAGGGATCTAAGCAAGTACTAGATCAGTAGAATTTATCAATGGCAAGGTTGCCTTTTGCTCTGTGTGCAGTGCAACCGACCTAAGCATTCTTCTCCCTAATTTAACCACGTAGTAGTAGTCCTAAACTCTGCTGCATGCCTCCCTAATTTAAGCACATAGAAACCTCACGAGATTTACAGTGACGAACTGACGATGCTGCCACACAACAGCTACTCCTGCTTGATACTCTATCTGCTAAACCACGAGCCTGATAACTGAACTGTTGTCTTGAAAACACACGCAGGCGTCACATGACGGAGCAGGCGTTGGGGTTGTCGTCGCTGAACAGACTGGTGATCTGCTCGGCGCCGATGGCCGCCTCCATCACCGGGACCTGGTACGGGTAGTAGTAGCCAGCCGGGTTGGCCCACCTGCGGTCGTAGGCCTGCAGCTGGGCCGCCCCGATGCCGTAGAGGGCCGCGGCCGCCGGGGTGTAGTAGCCGGCAGTGTTCTGGGGCCCGGGCCACGGCTCCGCCTTCTTCCCCGTGGACTGGGCCCTCCGCAGCACCGCGACCGGGTCCACCTCGCCAGTCACCGCCACCTTCTGCTGCAGCCTGTTCACCTCCACATGCTGCACTCCTGCAGTGCAGGCGGCTGCTTCAGAGTTATTAATATTAATTAATCGCCGCTGTAAATTTGGGCTTCTCTTCACAAGAGCACTTCGATTCGAAGTGGAACTTCTTTTGCTAGTGTTGCTCAATGTTTAGGTGTCGCCATATGCTGCTGCATTATTGCAGTGATGAAAAAAAAAGGTACGCTGGGAAAAGCTTGTGCTGAAAGGACATGATGGTCATTACTGACTGACTCAGTGAGTGCAGACTGCAGAGTGCACAGTGCACAGTGCACAGTGCAGAGAGCTCATCATCAGGGCGCAGAAGAGAGGAGTCATGGTCAAGGGCGCAATGCTAGCGAGCAACGAAAACTTGGTGCGAATGCGTAGGGGCCAGGGGATCAAAGTGACGCATGACCAACCTCTCATGCCGGAGAGCGCTTTCTTGACCTCGCGCTCGCAGCGCTCGCAGTCCATCCTGACCCTGAGCTCCACCGTCTGCACCAGGCGCCGCCGCAGCGTCATCTTCTTCTTCTTCTTCCCTGGGGCGGCCATTGATCGCTCCCAGCAAGCTAAGCAGCTGCCTCATGGCGCCTCCCATGGGGAATGCAGCAAGCTGGTTGATGGGTGAACTCCTTTGTGAGCTGTAAAATGGGGAACAGGTGAGGGAAGGAGCCTAGCTAGGCTACTTCTGGACTCTGGAGGGACACTGTCTGGCTTTGTATGTACGAGGCCGGCACCCGGCAGGAACTGTTCGACTTCGGAGGCCTTTTGAACTAGCTAGGCAATGGCGAGATGGTCTGTGACTGAGTGAGGGGACGGGAGAGAGGAGAGGGGTGTGCGTGCTGGTGTGTCTTGTGTTGGAGGCTGACAAGAGAACACGACGAGGGGGAAAAGTGAGGCGAGGAGCCGTGTGCTGGCGCGAGGACGGCGAGGTCTCGTCTCATGTGACGGTTGTGCTGTGCAGCGCAGTGGAATGGTGGTGCGGTTGTGTGTTGCAGTAGGCCAATCAGACTAGCAGTAGCAGAGCACGCACCGGCGTTACGGGGGCGAGTGGAGTGTGCAAGAAATCGTCTGCATCGCTGCACCTTTGGAAAGTGGATTTGGCCATGCCCATCACCCCATGCGTGTGAAAGACGATAGATGATGATGTGCAAGCAAACTGCGAGGGTATGCTCGTTTCCGCGCCATTTCTGAACGTTACATGGGCCATGTTTAGTTCCCACCAAATCCAAACTTTGGCACTATGCAAAAAGAAGATTTCCCGTCACATCAAACTTGCGGTATATGTATGGAGTACTAAATGTTGACGAAATCAAAAACTAATTACACAGTTTGGTTGTACTTTGCGAGACGAACGTTTTGAGCCTAATTAGTCAACGATCGGACAATTATTACCCAATACAAACAAAATGCTACAGTGCGCTACAGGAACCCGAAAGTTTGGCGGCGCCGATTCTGCTCGTAACTAAACACGGCCATGGCAGCATTTCAAGTTGGGGATTACTAGGCACGCACAAGAAATTCAGGATGAATCAGGCACTCAGGCAAAAGCCAAGGCGACGCCTGCTACATGCGCAGGGCCTACAGCCTTGCTAGAGAAGGTTCAGACTTTGAGACCGATTGTCGCGGGGCACAGGAACAGGGGGGATCCAAAGGGCCAATAATGGGGGCAAAATACAGCTGATCTATTAACCTCTAGAGCAACAGAAAACACCATATATAAAGCACATACAATATACAGGGCTATCGATTAGTATAATATCAGTTGTTCATGAGATGAAGAACACAGTGGACATTGTCAGTAACAGCAACCGGTATGAGCTAGCAAGAAGCATCTGTAGATTCGTCGTTGCACTGGAGAGCGGAGCCATGCCTGCCGTTGCAGGCGTCACGGCCGGGGAAGTCTGCTGCTCGTTCGACGGCAACGGGTCCTCTGGATTGTCGTGCTGCGATGGGCCCAACGGCACGGTCGTGCTGTTGTCAACGTCGCGGCCTGCGTTCACAGGAATGGACGTTACCATATTTAAGACTTCCGGAGTACCAGGTGAATGATAGAATTTGGTCTATTCTGGCAGATGGCTTACATTCAGAGCGGTACCAACCCAACTTCATGCTTTCTCTGTCGAAGACAACATGGTATCCAACCAGGAAATTTTCTGCATTTGAAAATTATATTGTATGTATGAACACTAAATACCAAAAGAACAAACCGCACAGATTCATTTGGGCACTTACGGGCAATAATTCCAATAGGTTCTGTTGATGGCAGCACAGCTAAGCAGAACCCAGCAAGCGCTCCCTGTAACATAAATCAGCATACAAGATGATCAGCTGCTACAGACAAATTCCTTGTGAATGGTAATCTACAACTATATAAGACCTCGCTCATAAAAGGGTCGCTCATTAAATCCCAAGAACCTGTACCCTCCTAATCCCCTCTCCAAGGCCATTTATAAAAAAACGAAAACATCATATTCTAGGGGTCTATGGGCAAACCAGTCATGCAAACTAAACAAAGCATTTATCCTGCACATACTTTAAGATCAAACAAATGTGGAAACATGAATACTTATGTTAGCTAAGTTGTGCATGTAGGCTTTAAATATACTAACTCAGATCAAATTATATATCAGTATGTTATGGAAGCAAGCTCAACTGAGCCACATTTCCATTCAGGAGCTTAGACTTGACAGCAAAAGGACACAATTAGCCAATTAGGATTCACTTGACAAGACTATCCATCATTCTCAGCTGATTGATTTTGAGGACACTATTTTTTCCTTGCCCAACAAAGAGGACATACCTGTTTGTCATTAAATGGAAATATAGGATTAACAGCCTGGAAGCTCTTGTTCGCAGCAAATGCCAGGGTTATTGTTGGCACATCAGGCATCTCAAGAGGACTGCATATAATCACATATCAGCGAATTCCTTCTACACAATCAGAGAAATGAAACTAAGACCTAAATGAAGCCAGAAGTTACCTAGCACTGTAGCAATATTTCCAGGTACTGTCTTCATAAGGCACCCTTGAAGCATTCATTTGTTTGTCAAACTGAAATTTATATGAAATTAGTACTGATTTACTGAAAAATATCCATTAGCAAACCAGCTGCAAATGCGTGGATGTCCACCTCCATTGTGAAAGCCTTGTAAACGTCTGGAGGAAGAGAAGTAAATGATGTTCCACTATCGACTAAGGCCTGGAAGCTAGTACCCTCAAGACATTTATGTCCAATACAAGATTTGTCGACATTAACAGCATAAGTTTGACTGGAAAATTAAGAAAGAAAGATGTAAGTGCCGCTTTAAAGAATTTCAAGAACCACTGCAAAAACTGATTGCATTAGTTGATAAGTTAATCACTTTGAGCCACTCACAGTTTGCCATACAGAGGAACAAACGGTGTAGACTGTTGAGAGGACACCCCTTGATCTCCAAAAAAAATTCTCCCAGAACTATCTTCCTTAAAGCACATCGAGAAGGAATTCCGAACTAGTCCAGCTCTTGCAAGGAAACTAGGAACTGAAATATCTGCCATTCCAAGGCCAAGGAGTCCATCCGGTGCAATACCATCCAGATAGTCACCACTTTGCTTTCGACCACAGCTATACCCGAAGGACACACTATGTCAGTAAAACTAAGTGACAGAAAGTCAGCAAATCATGACAATCGACTATTGAGCAACATCTCTAACTCCAATTATTTTGTTACAAGATTGCATTGAAGCTCAGTAACAATGCAAGATGAAATCAAAAGGTAAGGACTGGGCGAGTGGCTATGGCTAAACATACTAACGTCTTAAGCAAATGCACAGATCTGATACCTACAAAGTGTACAGAGTAATTGAGTACTTCACCAGTAAATGTGCAGCAATGGAAATGTAGTTCACTAACAACGATCCATGTGAGGACAGTGTGATTTGTCAAGTAGCATTACTCCTTTATGCCATGGAAACAGTATTGCTTATGAAGCAAAAGTACAAAGTTCCTGTTGACAGAAAGCGGCAGAAACTTACCCAATAATAACTGAAGCGTTCACTGGTACATGGCCCTCCCTGGAGTTCAAGTGTAGTGTATCCTCAATTAGCAAACCAGAGCTGGTAGTATTTTCTGAAAAGTAGTCAATATTGTATGGGCAAGGCTGCTTTGGGTTTGTGCAGCCTGAACCTGATTGGCATAGCTCGTGGCTGCAAGGAAGATGCCGACTTGTCGTCGATTCAGCAGGCTTGTATATTCCAAGATCTCTATCCTGCATAATAGATGCTCCATTTATGACGGAGCACCTGCCAATCAATCACTGGAAATAAGCACTAAACTGCTTAAATATATGGTAGCCACCTCTTGTTTTTGCACTTGTTAGGAAGAAATAGAACTTAAAATGAACAAAATTGAAGAGAACCAAAGTTCACACATGACACCACCACTTGGACTCCTAAGTCAGTCACTCAGGTAATAGCTAAAATCGGCAATGAATTGTAGGTGTGCTTGTGCAACTTACACTGGACCATTACATGAGATTTATAGCATGACGCATGTGCCATTTTGGTGGTAGCACAAATTTAATTGCACTGCCAAAATTGCAGCTGAACGCGAGCAGTTGGGAAATTACTTTCCATCAAAATAGATGGATTTTTCGTGTGGTATTTTAGGGTCACATAATGGTGTGCATACTTTGCGCCACAACTTGCATGCTGCCAAGAACAGTGACTATAGTGAAATTTAAACTGAAGATGACTGCAGAGACACGATGAGAAGTTTATAGATCAGAGATCAGTCATGTTAGTTTCCAAGTTTAGAACCGCTTTGCATTTTTTCCCAATAATTTCCATAGTCAATGAAATTAAAGCAAACTGCATGTCATGTATTAGTTTCTTCAACCGAGATTTGTGCATTATGTAATAGAAATGTGAAGAGTCAGGTCATCATCTGCACCAGCAATTTTGCATGAACAAGTCAAATATGTCTTTGGAAAAAACATTTTCTAGTATGTCCCAACTCAAGCTGACAGCTGTGTCACAATAAGACATCTTCAGATATTAACATCAAGCCACTGAACAAAGGGGATGCATACCAGATTTCCACGGTAGCTTTGGAAAAGACAATGTGGGGCACACTGAATACAGACATCTTCAGATATTATCCCAGAACAGGTCACAGATTTCCACGGTAGCCAGTACACCAATGTCACAGGGTACCCAGAACAGGTCACTTCCAGTATCCAATGCAACCAAAAAGGAGGTAGTAGGCGTCCCAACATCCACCCAAGCGTAATATAACCTTCACACCGAAAGGTAGATGAAATAAGATTAGCTTACAACTTTTGCAGCAAAGCACGTACTAGCTCCGAAGGTAAAAACAGTAAAACACAACTTAGTAGTACCTAGCTGGCTAGCTCTGACAGTAAAAAACAGCAAAACACAGCCTATGCCTATCCCGACCAAAATGGCAATGCAACCCGTACGGGTAGAAGAAATTTAATCCTTTTTATATATAATAATAACGCCGATTTTTTTTGTGTAGCTGTCTCGTAGTACGAATTCAAAATGTTATTAACACTATAACATTCACAGTGAAAAGTTGAGGGACGTAAGATCCAACGGGGGCAGGGAATGAGGCGCACCAGCCGAAGTCGTTGCCGGGGGAGAAGGTGCTGCCGCCCTTTGAGAGCGAGAGGAGCTGGTACTTGCCCGCGAGCCGCCGCTTCTGCCGCTGGAGATCGCTCCTCACCAGCGCGCGGTAGTACTCCCCGCTTCCGCGCTGCGGCCACCACCCCGCACGCGGGCCCGCCTCCAGCCGAGCCTTGTCGGACAGACGGTGCACCATCCTCGAAGAGAGCGTCGCCGCGGCCTCGGCCGCCGAAGCTGCTGCCGCCGCCAAGGCGACCAGCTGGAGGGCGAAAAGGACCGGGAGGCGCATGGGTGGATCTGAGGGTAATGCGGTGCGGTGGATGGGGGGAGAGGATCTGGAGCTACGTTTCGCGAGCTGGAGACGGCGCGGGGAGCATGGAAGCGGTGGTGAGTGGTGAGCGACCGCGTAGCTGGGAGGGAAGCGAGCTGGGGCGGTGGTGTGGAGGTGGTGATGCTCTGGAAGCTAGCGCAAAAGGGAGGAAGGCGGAGACGGTATCGGTCATTTTCTTGAAAAGACCCTGTAGTGGTTCCAAATTTGATAGAGGAGAATGTTCAGCGTTGGGTGTCGTGGCAACTAGCAAGTGGACATCAGTCTAAACCATAAAACATGCTAAGACTAAAAGTGTGATATTATATTACTTCAACATTGTTTTATGAATAATCTACAAGCTGTATACTATTTGGACTTGGTATAGTAGTAATTAGGATGAAATTATAAATTTCTTTTGCCCAAGCCCAACCATAAATTAAACATATGAATATATTCCTTCCTTTGGAACATGAGAGATTACATTGCCATAAGATAACCAAGGCTCGAAATTTTTTCTTTACGTCAGAATCCAAAACTAGATCTTTGAACTATGGCTATTAATTGCAACCTTGAGTTTTATTTCAATGAAAAATACGATTAGGGTCTCAAATGGTCATTTCAAGTTTTAGCTATAAGTGACACATAAAACGTAGGCTTAGCCATGGTGATCGGTGTAGTATTTAGCTTAATTGGCACCCGACTACACATAGTAGACCACAACAATACTCCTCTTCTCTGTCATACCTGATTAAATTATAATTGCTACCCACTTTGGGTATACAGTTGTCGATAAACTTCTATAGTTTGGTGTATTATTGTTGTTGTTGAGCATATTGCTATTGTGACTACCATGGTGCAATGGCCAGGTTACGTGCCAAACAATCTAAAACTATACTTCTTCATCATTGATAGTCTGTCTAAACTATTGATACCGGATACGGTAGGCAGAGACATGAAACTATGACGTACTAGCTTCTGTAGAATATTTGAGAAATGGAGGACTTGGCGGCTTATTTGCACAGGTTTGTTTAATGGAGTTTTTAACAGCAACGGTCCATCCCGCTCATATGACCAGAGTCCCCGCACAGGCACGCAGCCCACTCGAGGCACCGCGCGTGGTGGTCCCCACGTGGCCGTGGTGGCGCTGTGTGTCACCCGTTGGTCCCTTCGCGTCCGCGTGGGCCCCTACGCCTACACCACCGGATGGACGGCGCAGACGCTGATGAAGCGTGCGCCGTGCCGAGCGGCCGCGGGCGGCCCGCCTGTTATTAGAGATGAAAATAAAAATCCCCGTGCCGCCTTGCCAGCTGGCCAAGATGCGGTCCCGCTCCCTACGCGTATGATTCGTTGGGTGAAAAAAAAAAGTCGAAATACTGTTCTGATTAATTTGCTGTGAGAAAAAAATATTATTTTAACTAAAAAAAATAAGTTGAAAAAGACGAATTACAAGGGAAGCAAACAGGGCCTCAATTGAAGTTTAACAAACATCATCAAATCGTCCAAATGCTTCATGCCAATTGAAGTTTGAATCTCTGGTTGAACTGCAACGTACGATGGATCACGCGGCGATACAAAGTTAATCCAGTGCAGGAGCACAAATGAGGTTTATGTATCCATCGTCGTCTTTAGCAAAAAGGGCCGGAATATCTGACCTCTCACTCAGCCTAGTGCCTCAGCGCACGAGTTCTTTAGAGATACCCAATCATTGAAGTTTAACAAACATCTTTAAATCGTGACAAATGGCAAGCGCCAATTGAAGTTTTCAACGCCCTCTGGTTGATACTGCACCTGTTTGCTCGATGGAAGGTACTTTGCCAATAAGGCCGTGTTTAGCTCGGGCGATTCAATTGTCGACGAAATCCAGTGCAGGAGCACAAATGAGGTTTATGTATCCATCGTCGTCTTTAGCAAAAACGGCCGGAATATCTGACCTCTCAATCAGTTTTGATTTGCATCAGCATTTATTACACGACGTTCTTTTTAGAGATACCCAATCATCTTTTTTATATACAAAAAAGAGAATTTTATACGACGTGAAACATGGCCTAAATTTTCCCCTCCTGTCCAGCAGTTCAACGGAAACCTCCATGATACCCTAAGGTGTCGTTCGGTTCCTGAGAAAAGCTCTTCCATGCCAGGATTGATTCTAGCTCAGTGTAAATTATTGAATAGTTGCCGGCCAGAAACAATTTCATGCCATTCCGGGCTCCAAACGAACGGGCCCTAAAACTTTATACCTTAGACAGAAAGATGACGTTGGCCTCAGCTAGTCGGCCACGACGAGTCACGAGGCAGAAGCACGAAACTTATCAAATTTGAACTTTATCAATTTAAAATCTATGATATTTTTACTTTCACAATGACGGTTTACATGACTACAGTACATATTTAGTTGGAGGCATGTTTTGGCTGTCAAATACGTACTCCGTACTAAGCAGCATTATTTTGATTTTCTAAAAAGAATGTAATAAAGAACAAGAAGCATGTTGGTATATATACTTGTACTCGCAGATTTCTATCATGGAGTGCAGACGAACGGAGCTCCTTGCACTCGTAGGCCGGAACAGCTGCGTTGTTGTGTTTGCGTTTGTTTTGTTTTGTCTTATAATATAATAATTTGCCTCAATGTGAGCGCCCGGGGGGCCACGGACAGCTGCGATACAGGAGGCCGCGACTGCGACGTCGGGTTGGGAAACGGAAAGCACACCGCCTGCTTTGGGTGGCCGGCGTCGCTGCTTTCAGAATTGAGTGGACACGTGTTGCCTCATGCAAGCACGGGCAGTCGAACACGCACGCGGCGCCTTCCTCCACCGTCTGCTTTCTTCCCTACCGGGTAGGCCACTGGGCTGACGGACGGACAGTTCACCATGGACCGGCGGCCCAGGCCCATTCCTGATCGAGTCTTTAGTCTTTACGCTTCAGCCGCCGTCCCTGACAATTTCTATCCTGTTCCATTTGCCATTGCAGCAAAATATCGTCTTCACAAGGGTCGACGGGTGACATATTTGAGCCTCAAAAAGAATCGAGGAGACGACATCAAGCAATCTTACCTCTGTCATTTGATATTCAAGCAGCAAACCCAGACAGGAAGAGCACGCCCCTCCATCCAAAAAAAAATATTGCAGGGCACAGAATCATGCAAGCCAAGCCAACGAATAGAAACAAGCTTGCATCAATTTATCAGTGCGAGCTATCCATACAGCAACACATCCATCTTGCGATTTGGACTTGCACAGATATGCATGATTTTACACATCTTAGTATAGTACACCGCAGCACCCTAAATTCTCAGTTTCAGCATCTCAAGATCAATATCCAGAATGTGGCGAACAGTCAATACATCTCAAGAGCAGGTTGCAGGTTGCAACAGTCTGTTAGACTAATTTACAGTAGCTAGTTTCAGCATCTGAACTAAAATCATGTATTGTTATAGACCAGCACGGTTGAATCCTCCCAAATCATGGAGCTCAGGTTTCCACGCTTCGGTCATGAGGTCAGAATCAGATGGATACAGAAAATGTAATGACTGCACAGCATATGAAGGTTGCCGCCTGCTACATGTAATGGAGCGTCCATTTGACTGTCTCTGGATTTGCCTACCTGTGGGGAATCATTTTGACCAAATGAGATGGAGGAAGACGCTTCACAACTTTCTCAAGATATAGAATTACTACAAGTGAAGTTGGCAATAGAAAAATTTATATTCTTCTCCACAAGGCAGAGTGCAACTATCGGAACCAGATAACATATAACAGAGGTCCAGGGGTTGCAGAGATTAAACTTCCCTCCATGCATCAGTAACCCTAAACCACCAATTCATAAGTTCATGATGATGACAATTTTTATAAATAAAAAAAATTACTAAGAAATAACGCAGGGCAACAGTATTTAAATATCTTAATATGAACCCTTTTCACACCAAATCTGAGTAAGGGGATGGGTCAGATGCAAAACCCTCACTTAGGTTTTATCATGTCAGTCCTTTTACAGGGGATCAAATGAATTTGAAAAGTACTTGAAAGAGCATACTTGTAGTTATACTTTCCATTTTATTAAGGTTTTTTTATCGAAGCCATTACAATTCTTCGAAGTTGGAGAAATGCCATTACAATTCGTGTATTGTAAAACATGCCATTATAATTCTGGGTGTTGCTAGTGCTGGCCATTGTCTACGTATGTGAACAGCTCGGGCCCACTGTTAGGTCGAGGAAGGCGTACGTGACTTCCGTATGGACATCGATACCCTTCTTGCGTGTTACAAGCCGCCGCGCCCTCTCTCCTATTCAATCCATCCCCCACCCGTGCTCCTCTCCATCTTCCTCTTCCTTTCCCTTCCGTAAGAACCCTAACCCTAGACTGTAGCCGCCAGAGAGACTGGAGGCTGCGGCGGCGACTTCATGGAGTTGCGACGGCGACTCATGAGCTGCTAGCGTTGGTGTGTCGCGTCTGTGGCCGGCGCATTCACCGGAGGAGATGTAGGACCCATGAAGACGACGGATGGTGAGGTCTTCCTGCATCTGCGCCGTAGTGCTGCGGCGGAGATGGAGGACTGCAATAGCAGGTAATGTATGCGCATCCCCTGTTATCAGTTTGAGCACATAGTGTAGTTGACTTGTGCTTGCCTATTTACACTTGGATTGTTGGTAGGAATGGTATGTTTGCGGTAGAGGTTAAAGTCCACGGTTTCGCTACGAAGACTCAGATGGTAGGAAATCATACACTAAAGGGATTGTGATTAAGTGGGATGTGGAGTTTGGGTCTTTAACGCTTGAACTGTTGGTGTCCAGTATTGCAAATGAATTGAATGTGCCCTCTAACCAGTTACCCACAGTGTGAGTGTGGTTCTTTGATAAAAGACTTCATGAGGATGTAAGATTAATTAGTGAAATTCAGATGGTTGATGTCTTTGAAATGTACAAGAAAGAGATGGGTTGTCAGCTTGTAGTGGGATTGTTTGATAATGATGTTGAGTTTGATGACCTAGAACCTTTATGTACAATTCCTCCTGAGGTTAGATTTGAGATAGTCAACATTGATACTGATTTAGAGCCTGAAGCCAGTACTGCTCCTGCTGGTGCTAACAATCTAGAAGCAGAGGCTCCTCAACCCAGTACTGATGCTGCTAACAATCTAGAAGCAGATACTGATTTAGAGCCTGGACAAGGTGATGATGTTGATGTAGAGCCTGAGAGGGAACCTGATATCTTTGATAATCCTAAAGAATATGTTGGAGTTGATGATGAACAAATCTATATTTCAGTTCCTAATGCACATCAAGCTGCTAATGCACAACCAGTTAACAATGCTTATGATCATAGTGATGCTCACCCATCTGATGAAAATGCTTTTGCTAATGCACAGCCAGTTCCTAAAGAATATGATGAAGTTGATGATGCAGACTCTCTTGAGGTGCATGTACTCCATGATCCTAAGAATCCAAACATAGTGAAGGGGGCATTGTTTCCTGATATCATTGCATTCAGGAAAGCAATTAGGCACCATGCAGTGAAGACTGGTTTTGAGTTTGCTGGGCTCAAAACAGACAAGACCAGGTTCTTAACTCACTGTGCTGCTGAGGGTTGTCCGTGGCGCATACATGCATCCACTATTTTTGATAAAAAACAATAAAGGTAATGTGTTCAACTGCTGCTGTTTATGACCTAATTGTGACCTTTATTTGACATGCTAATGACCTGTTTAACATGTTTGTGTAGATAAAAGTGCTTCCTGCACAGCACAATTGTCCTACCACCAAGCTTAAAGAAGGAAAGATGGCAAGTCAGGGCTGGTGTGTAGACAGGCTAGCAGACTAGGTGAAAAAAAAATCCAAATAAGGGCCCAACGGATGTCAAAGACAAATTGGAGGATGACTATGGAATTAAGTTGAAGTACTCCAAAGCTTGGTCAAGTTTACAGGTTGCTCTAGACCAGATTCATGGGTCTTATGAGGAAAGTTTTCAACTGTTATTCAATTGGGCTGCACAGGTTGAAATAAGTTCTCCTGGTAGCATTGTAGAAATAGAATTAGAGACAATAGGTGATCAGAAAAGGTTCAGAAGGATATTTGTTGCACTGAAGCCATGCATTGATGGGTTCTTAGTTGGTTGCAGACCATTTATTGGTTTAGATGCTTCTAGTTTGAATGGGAGGTATCTTGGGCAGTTGGTTTCAGCTACTGGGGTTGATGGGCATAGTTGGTTGTACCATATTGCCTATAGTGTTTTTGACACAGAGACTGAAGATAACTGGAAGTGGTTCATGCAGAATTTGCAGAGCTGTTGGGGACCCTCTATGATTGGTGATTTGTTCAGATGCTTGTAAAGGCCTAGAAAAAGCTGTGGGAGCTGTCTTCCCACATGCTGAGAACAGGGAGTGCATGAGGCACTTGTACCAAAACTTCATGAAGCACTACTCAGGTGATGTGTTCACTAACCATCTGTATCCTGCTGCAAGGAGCTACACAAAAGGCATGTTCAGGTGGCACATGAAATTTTTTTTTGAGTTTGCTCCTGATGCAATTAAGTACCTTGAGGAACACCATTCTAGGATTTGGTACAGATGTGCCTTCTCAGAGCTTAGCAAGTGTGATTACCTAACTAACAATATGTCAGAGAGCTTCAATGCATAGATTAAAAAGCTGAAGGGACTTCACCTCCATGAGTTGTGTGATAGGCTGAGGGAGCTCATAATGGAGAAGAGGTACATTGGGAAGAAGATTGTAAGGCAGTGGGAGGATGGCATCCTCCTAGGTGTACTCAAGGATCTCAATGCCATTAGCAAAAATTTGAAAGTAGTCAAGGTTGCAACCTATGATGATGGCATTGTAGAGGTCACAATATTAGATGACTGGAACAACCAGAAAAGGCACACAGTGGATCTTGAAAACCACAAGTGTTCCTGCAGGGAATGGCAAATAACTAGCAAGCCTTGCAAGCACACCCTGGCATGGATTTGCTCTAATAGAGGAGCCCAAATCTCTGACTATGTCCATGAGTATTACTCTGTTGCAAAGTTTAGAGCTGCATATGAACAGAGAGTGGAACCTATGCCAGATAGGTCCCAGTGGCCTCATTTTGAGCTGGGATTTAAAGTTTTCCCACCATTACTTGGAAGAAGACCAGGCATGCCTAAAGTGGTAAGGATAAGAGGTTGCTTGGAAAAAATAGTACAAAGAAGAAAGTGAAATGTCGAAGGTGTGGAGATTTTGGACACTTTGCCAAGACATGCAAGGAACCTGAGATGGGACTTGATGGTGAGACTGCTGCTGCACTGAATAAAAAGTAAGACTTCCATTGTGTTCATTTTGTATCTGTCTACTAAATAGTGGTATAAAAAATAATTTGTTTGAACTAATGGTGCAGGAAGAGGCCGGCTGAAGAAGAAGCTGGACCATCTCAAGTGAAGAAGAAGAAGTCAGCTTCAGCTAAGAACAAGAAGACAACTAAGAACAAGAAGACAGCTAAGAAGAAGAAAACACCAGTCAAGAAAAAACTGATGAAAAAGGCTACAGCTCCACCTGCTAAGGTTGTTAGAGGTCTGATGGATATGCTGAATAATGGGCAGTAATCCACCTGGAGCTTATTTTGTGACTTGGATGTTATTTTGTGACTTGGATGTTATTTTGTGACTTAGGAGTATGTGATGTAAATGGCCTTTGTGGCCTATATGGCCTTTGGACCTGAACAAGCGCTTTTGTAATATGAGAATAGCCTGAGTGTTGTAATCTGCTTTGCTTTTGTAGTGCCCTTGTTAATGCTGGAGCTATGTAAGCTGAATGGTATGTCGGAGTAATGGCTGTAAACTTCGAAGATGGTTGCCAGCATTGTAGAACTGTCTTATGTGCAATGAAATTGCCTATTGGTGCTGCTTGCATCTACATCTACATTTTTCTGTAATGGTTGCTAGCATTCAGTTTGCTATTCCAGGATATACTTGCTTGAAGTATGAAGTATTTGCTCATTTTGCATGTACTTCTATTACCAAAGTAGAGTTGCAACTGTGGCACTGGTACATTGTTTTTTGTGCCATTCTACAATGTTATGGCGCATCTATGGAATGGCAAAGGCGAACAGCAGCAACAGCATCTTGCTAAAGCAAGAAGCAAGCAGAGGCCATGGCATAGGCTCATTTCTTCAGATATCCTGGTTCAAGCTAAAGCACACGGAGATATGCAAGCTGAGCGATCATTAATTCTCATTTCATCATATATTTGGTACCCATTTCAATTCTGGAAACATACAGCCACACACACACTCTGGAAACATACACACACACTCAATCCTAACATAAACTGCTACAATCAGTTCACTTCCACATTGCAGCCACAAGAAAACCAAGCAGAACACCGACAAATCCTATAAAGACAGCGGCTACAAAAGAAGAATCAAGCACAATCTTATTGTCGACTTTAGGCTTCACTGCAGGTATGTTCTTGTTGTCGACTTCAGGCTTCACTGCAGGCATCACCTCAACATGTAGGATCTTTATTTTTTAGACCTCTGCTACAACACTATCTAGTGTTTGCTTCACTAGTTCCAATTCTTCCTTCAAATCGGCACAACAAACACCAGCTGCATCCTTCACTGACTACACCCTCCATTCCTCTATTTCCAAGGCCATATACTTCTTCATAGAGCGGATGTATGGGCAAGTACTATCATCATACTACAATCGAAACAAAGGGCATAAATCAAAGATGAATCAACACACAGCGAGCACAACAATATCCAAAATCATAACCTTGATGTTGTACGGGCACTTGAGGTACCACTCGCCCTTTGTCGCCGGTTGCTTGCTCTGGATGCGAACCAAAGCAACATGGCAAAAGGGGCACTCTCTTCTACCGATGGGCGTCGAGCTCGAGCCACTGGAAGTTGCCTTCATGGTGCTATGACTCCACTTCCCGGCCATGGCTTCAAAGTTGGGCGCCGCCATCGAACCGGCGGTGGCCGTGCTAGACTGCTCCGCCGTGGGCTGCGACGTCAGCTAAGGCGGGGGGGTTGGATGCTGGATATATTCTAGGGTTAGGGTTCTTGGAGGAGGGGAATGGAGAAGGATGAGCACAAGTCACCGTCGTAGCTCCGCAGGTCTGCCGTCGCAGCTCCGCGGGTCTCCGGCGGCGGCTACAGTCTAGGGTTAGGGTTCTTATGGAAGGGAAAGGAAGAGGAAGACGGAGAGGAGCACGGGTGGGGGATGGATTGAATGGGAGAGAGGGCGCAGCGGCTTGTAACATGCAAGAAGGGCATCGATGTCCATACACGGAAGTCACGTACGCCTTCCTCGACCTGACAGTGGGCCCGAGCTGTTCACATACGTAGACAATGGCCAGCACTAGCAACACCCAGAATTATAATGGCATGTTTCACAATACATGAATTGTAATGGCATTTCTCCAACTTCGAAGAATTGTAATGGCTTCGATCCAAAAAACCCTTTTATTAAAGAATCATTTGTCAATGCAGGGCAAAATAAATCACTCGGTAGACAACAACTATAGCAATTGTCACACAGTTGAGCTCTAAGAATATCCAAACCAATTAGGCAAACAAAGAATGAAGAAAGATGAGTGGATCAACAATGAAGAAGAATCAAACAAAACTGTGTCAAAGAAGCATCAGCCATATCTTTCCCAGGCAACATAATTTACAGGTTGGTCATATACCTTTATGCTCTTGCACATTAGCATGCTCAGGAAAACCAGATCACAAGTAGTGGTTGAACCAAATTGCCAAGGATCACTCTTTCCTTTCGACCTCACAAAAAGCCCCCATAAATAGTTCTCACCATCTATCCCTATTACCACGGTAGAAATAAGAATCTCAAAATATGCATTTGATATCTTTTCAGAATATTGAAATGTACTTTTTTCCAGGTGTACAATACAAATTAGTTGGGGAAGAAGCATTGTAAACTAGTGCAAGTGGTTTATTTTCTTGCATGAAAAGGAACAAAGAATACAATCACTAACACTGAGAATCAGGCGGAAGAACTTCCGAGGAATATATCAATAACTTTATGCCATCAATATATGCCCTTAGAACATAATTGTTGGAGTCTGCTAATATATTAGAGTGCTTCTTTTCACACCTACAAAGCAAGTTAGGAACAAAATCACTGAATGTCTGAAAGCATAGTTATTGACTAGTAAAATATATGTTTCAGCACATATCTATGGGAGAAAATGTTGACACCGGAACCAGAAACCCTACCCAACAGGTTTATCAAAAAAGAACACGCCAATGTCTTCATGAACAGGAGGGATAGTCTCAAAAGACTTTGGCCAATCATTCATTCGTGGTAATAACTCCAGCTGTAGATCACTGGGTATCATCTTGATAGTATCACAAACTCTGGATGACACTTTTGAAGGAAACTGGGCTTTAAATTCACCAAGATTTAGCTTTGTGCCAGCATAAAAGACATGAAAGCATCCCCTAAAGAGCAAAGGAAAGCTAAACATTAGAAATACATATAACATTATTTATATATATGAAATTAGAGTGATTCATGGCGATGACTGACTGGGGCACAAAAGAGGCACACTCAATAGCCATTCTGACTCTATGGCACATCTGGAAGGAGAGAAACGCTATAGTTTTTAATGGAGATAGGAATCCGGAGCAGGCAGTCTTCACAAGGATTAAGGATGAGTGTTCTAGTTGGGTTTCAGCGGGTGTGTGTGTGGGGAGGGGGGTGTACTTAGTTACCAAAGGTTTGCTCAACATTTTGTGAGTAATTAGCCTAGGTCCTTCACGGTATCTCATACGGCGGTCTGCTGTATGACAGCGCCTCTCGCGCATGTAAGATTGCAACTCTTATCTTGCTTATTGATACAAAGCCGGGGAACCAGATCTTTATATATATATATATATATATATATATATATATATATATATATATATATATATATATATATATATATATATATATATATATATATATATATATATATATATATATATATATATATATATATAGGTTAGCTGCCACAACCATAGAAGAAAGGCATTTGTCTTTTATGAACAACTTGTCTTTTAGGTTAGCAGCAAGATATTATAATTAACTCAGAACAGTACAATCTTGAATACATTAGGGTATTATGCGAAAGAAGTTCATGGTGAAATGATACTTGCACAGAAACTTCCAGATATATTCAGCAGTCTAAATCTGATTGTGAAATATCTAGAAATATTTCTCGACAAAAGTATAATGTGGTGATTTATGGAAGTATTGCCCATGAAAAAAATAAGCCACAGCCTCCACATTTACCAATACATATTCATGTGAAACAGTTGGAAGCTGGTGGCAACTATATCCATATAATTAAGAAACCATGTCTAGTTAATTTATTACTGACATAAGAAAAATTCTCTAATGAAGGTAAAGGTTGTTGAGACAATTCACCTCCAACAAATTGCATTTGTTGGGCGTCTTGAATATTTCACAATTGAACCAATGGTGAGCATTATGCCTTTGTTCTCATTCAGACTGCATCCAATATCATCATCTATTGGTACATTGAAAATGAACAGAAAAGGTCACTTTATTAGGGTAAGGCTTGCCACTAACACCCTTCCCCAGACCCCGCATAGAGTGGAAGCTCTCTGCACTGGGTACGCCCTTATAAGAAAAATTCCATAATGAAGGTAAAGGTTGTTGAGACAACTCACCTCCAACAAATTGCAGGTGCTGGGCGTCTTGAATATTTCACAATTGAACCAATGGTGAGCATTACACCTTTTTTCTCGTTCAGACTGCATCCAGTATCATCATCTATTGGTACATTGGAAATGAACAGAAAAGGTCACTTTATTAGTGTACTTAAACCTCAGATAACATCAGAACTAAAATCTAAATGTGGCACAGAACTAAATGTATATTGAAACTAAGCCCCCTTGAAATGTCATGACACTGACATTAAACAACCAAGATAAAAGGAAATTTCTGTAGGCACATACTTGAAGCGCATAAGGGCTTACCCTCTGCCGGAGAGTTAGTTTCCCCTTTATCTGCGTTCACTATCTTCTTTTCTCTAGCTTTGTGTTCAATGAGAGAGTCAATTTTTACTTTAACTCGTTCACTTGTTCTGCATTTATGAATTATAGGCATGGAACCACCAGATCTTGTTTCAAAATCCATGTTTATATCATGACTTACAACAGTTGATCGTTTTGTGCCATGTACTTGCGTGACAGTCCTATTGGGGGATATGCGCTTCATATTTGACAACTGTTTCACATGTAGAGGAGATGCCGGATGAGCTTGACTTTGCCGCATAGCAAAATATGGGCTGTCATCAGTCTTTGCCTGACCATGTCTTGCAGCAGCACATCGTTTCAGATTTTGCACTTGTGTGTCACTCCTGCTGGGGGATATTGACTTCATATTGGATGGCTGCTTCATGCCTAGAGGAGATGCAGGATGAACCTGCCTTTGCTGCATAGCAAAATATGACATATCCTCAATTTTTGGTTGACTATGACTTGCATCAGCACATCGTTTTAGGGCTTGCACTTGTGTGTCACTCCTACTGGGTGATACACAATTCAAATTGGACAAGTGTTTTGTAGTTGAAGGAGCCTTGCTTGGCTGTGGCACAACAAATCTTGACCTAACAAGTGGTGGCCTCTCTCTACTCAATAATGCCGCTTCTTCAGAAGAGACAAACTTCACTTTAGCATTTCCAAATCTATTCGGAGATTTGGGACTTATTTGAGGCACTACGTTGCTGTGACTAAGGTGCAACTTTGAAGTTTCCCTTTCATTCATCATATCGCGACCATGCCTTGGCTTTTGGAACTCTGTTTTCCTACCTTCACCATGATTGTAGAAGAACTTAGAGTAGCTGAGTAGAGTTTATTGATCATTGTGAAAGTGAGATAGGTGATCAAAACTAGTGAAAAGATATTACCTTGACTAAGTTTTGGGCCCCCATTAGCATACTCTTGGCATTTGGCACAATACCATTCACGTGGAATATCAAATGTCAACACCTTCATATAATAACTTCAAACAGAAAACAGAAACACTTTTAGAGAGCTAAATAAAACTTTCCACATTCAAGAATAGAGCTAAATCACTTTCATTTTAAAAGATAATGGATTTACTGCAAAAAAAAGCAAATTAAATGGAAATGACACATTGTAGAACAGCTAAGAAAGTTTCAGACCTAATTAAAATACAGTGTTTGCATCGGTTATCTATCAAAGAAGACATACTAGTTTTTGCAAAAAAAAAGGTTTCCTATCACTATCAGACATTCAGATATCAGACATACAAATATTTAAAACAATTGTAAAACAGAGACGTGCAAATTCAGGGCAGATGACCACACATATATGTACATTTTCCAAGTGCTTAGGATGTGAAAAATAAAGGGATTAAAAACTATACAGGGCAGACCAACAAATGAGTACCCGTGTTCATAATCATTGCACCGAGCACACTTTTCAATAAGAGAGAGGCTACCACTGCCACATGTCCCACACACCACAATGTCCTGCATGAAAAGGAAAATATTGCATAGTCAAATACATAGATTATTGTGTTCATCTAATTCTTTCATACATATCTTTGAGACATAACCCTAAGCGAGGAAGAAATATACAACACAATAAGAAAAGCAAAGTGAAAACACATGATTTTGTCAAAGAAAATAAAAGGGCTCCCTTCGTTGTCCAATGAAATTAAATCCCTTGAACAAGTCCATCATATCATTACAATAAACCTACTTTAATTCAGATGCAGTGAACTGGCTGCACATAAACAAAGATACAAAATAACAGCTTACAACTGAATATCCCGGCTTTTCAAAATTACTACGGTTTCTTAAGTCAATTGTCCAACCAAGCTATGGATTATCGGCAGAATATTTAGGGTAAATGGGCACTAACTCCATTATCAAGAATAATGGTGTTTTTAGAGGTTTCATAAGGTAAACTGCAGAGGATGTATTGATGAAAAAGTACAGAAATAGCTAGCCACGGTAGCACTCTTAACTCCCTCCGTCCAAAAAATAGTGTGATTCTTGTTTTTAAGAAGTCAACTAATTTCAAATTTTGACCAAATCTATATAAAAAAGTGGTAACATTTATGATACCAAATAAGTATCGCTAGATTAATCATTAAATATATTTCTATAGTAAATTTATTTGGAGACATAAATATTGCAACTATTTTCTATGAACTTAGTCAAACTTAGAAAATTTAACTTAGTATAAACCTAGCTGCATTCTTTTTTGGACAGAAGTAGTAATATTTATCCTAATTTTGGTCTATGGAAGAGACTATTAACTAACATAACCTTATGGGAGGAAAATCAAACTGATTGAGCATGACTGTGGTGAAGCTTTGAGCCTTTGCTATCCCTGCCTTCAAAATGTTAATCAAAAGTTTCCTAACAAAGAATGGGAGCTTGCTCCGATAACAACTAGGTACAACAAAATTAAACATCCACTTGCAATTACTGGCCATTAACAGGATGGTAGATTCAAGAAAATAAACCTAAGCACTGAATTACTAAAAGTGAATGCAATAAGCAAGATTGGAAGAGTTCATGTTTCTCTAAGACTAACATGAATTGGATCAATAGTAACAAAGAAGCCGGTAAGATTAATTTGAAGGCTGCTTCAAATTGCCGATCATTAACAGAACAATACATAACACTAACTAGACCAATTGCACGGTAGATTACCAGTAATCCCAGAAAGATGGGAAAGAAATCGAAAAGACACGAAAAAGGAGGCAACCAACTCGTGACAGGCGCGGAAAGATGTGGTTTTTGAGCCATTCCATACGACCATACCCAAAATGCTTAGGCGTTAGAAAGAATCTAAGAAGACAAGTCCACGAGTTGGATTCCGCGTCACCACAGATCGAGAGAGCAAGAACGCAAAAGGCGCAGCCTTCCAAACCCCAACCAAAACCGCACCGCGATCACATCACAGGAGGGCCAAGAAGCGCAGCGCGACCGATCAAAATGATCGAGCCCACTCCATGATGACAACAAGACGCAACCTGCTGATACCCAGCGGTGAAAAGAACCATAGAGTTTTTCCTGGAAAAGGAAAGATGAGAGAGAGAGAGAAGGGTGCGGGCAAGAAATATAGTGTGGAAGAAAAGCGCCGCTAGAGTAGTTTCTCACCATTGCACCATCCGGCCGTCGACCACTAGTAGACACACAAGTGACTCAACTCCACTCTCCAATACTCTCCAAGTGTCAAATGCAGACTAGACACATCTAGAACGACCGTGCCTTTTTATTTTTAGGGCCTGTTTGTTGGAACAGAGGAATTTCTCATAATTTTTATTGGAACCAGTTCAATTTCAAACATAGAAATATAGAAAATTTTCCAAGTTCCAAATAAGACCTTACTAGATTTCGTTCGTTGGGGGTTAAAAAAATTCAATTAAAAAGAGTATAAAAAACATAGTCCTTTCAGATCACCAAATACCACGTGCAATCTACTCCCTGTGTCTCAAAATAAGTGTCACTATGGATTCCGTGTGGGACACATCTTCTTAAGTTTAAATAGGTTTATAGAAAATATTTAAAACTTTTGTATATCCAAAAAAGCTTATATTACGAAAATATATTCAATGATTAAGCTACTAATACTTATTAGGCACCATAAATATTAGTATTCTTTTTTATATCTTTGGTCAAAGTTAAAGTTTTTTTACTCCTCGGGAAACGAGAATGACATTTGTTATGGGAGGGGGGAGTACTTGATCTAACAACATGTTGTTTTGAGCCACATTAAGATTATATAAGCATCAATTTTATGCAGAAGTATCAAAGCAATGTAACTTGAAGAAATGAGTATTACAATCATAGACTTCAATCCAAATTGAAGAAAGCAAGCGATCATGATAGTCAAGTTCGTTACGACTTCCCTTCAAATTATTTGATCTGTGAGACCCTATCGTCTTTGATCCATGCACAACTACAACTGAAAATACATTTTTTTTCTCATTAAGCAACGTCCTTATATTTTTTTTTCATGTGCACCATGGGATCCTTCTTCCTCACTGTTCTCATTGCCCTAGGCATCACACTTCATCGATGCAGCTTTTGAATCTAAGAAGTGCTACAGTTCACATCAATGAACCTTCTTTAATCAATCTAAGTAAAAATTCATAGGAATCACTTGATCTTTACACATCGGATGATACAAATATATACATACCTTCTTGGAATGTTAGTACTTAGTAGTTGTACATGATCAATCATTACCAGTAGCTCCACATATGGTTACTTTCAATCCTTGCTCCTTGCGCTTGCGTGACAACATACCAGCACTCACAGGATTACTCCTTGGGTTACAACCTATAAGAGACCAAGAACCACGAGAGATTTCATAATTACAACACCAAAATTCCAGCTAATAATATTATGACCCCATCCTCCTCTTTTTCTTATGCCCTTACCATTTGACAAGTTATATACCACATGTGAGTTAAGTATTTCCAACAATTCACGGCATTGTGCGGGGAAAAGGATATTTATGCAAGTGTCTTGTTGCATAGGGCAGAAAATTCTCAAGTTATGAATCAAAATAAACTACATTTTGACAGGTTTTTCTCATATGAGTTTACCTCATTGTCGAGTCCGCAGGTATCTTAGTCTCATTATCACTATCATATTATGGATGATAGGTTTTTTCTCATATGAGTTTATAATGGACAATAAATCTATATTATGTCGTATCATTTATCATTATTTTTGTCACCAGATTTTTAAGGAGTTTAATATCATATCAATAATATTATTACCTCACCTGTAAGTTTTGGGAGGATTCCAAACATCTAATTGATCACAAGATTAGATTCGATCAAGGGGAGGGGTGTCAAGCACCAAATCAACAATGGTGACCTCATCCAATAGTTTGTCCACGGTTTGGTGACGAGCCTTTGTCATCGTCACCGATGTTCGGTAGGGATGCCTCCGAACGGTCATGCATGTTCCTCATGTCTCTTCTCCATGTGTAAATAATATTCCATCTGTTCCAAATTATAAGTTGTTTTAGCTTTTCTAAATCTAAATACATAGAAAAAGTTATGTATCTAGAGTTCTAGACATGATGTATATCAGACGCATAACAAAAGTTATGAACCTAGAAAAACCAGAATGCGACTTATAATTTGAAGTGGACTTGGAATGGAGGGAGTATGTAACAAACAAGATCAATCAATAAAGCAATAAGGCAGTCTTTCTCTTATTCTTGTGTTCAATCTATGTCTCTAGTTTACATTCAAGCACTCATATTTCAAACAAGATAAGTCTTAATTAGTAATTGTCGGCTGAATACTATCTTCATCTCAAAATTATAAGACGTTTTGGTTTTTTCTAGATACACAACTTTTGTAATGCACTTAGATATACACAAGTCTAGATACATAGTAATAACAATGTATCTAGGAAAGCCAAAATGTCTTATAATACGGGGCGGAGGAAGTAATATGCACCAAATTAAATAAGGTCAATAAAGCAATCAATCGCTCTCCTTCTCTTTCTTTTTATGTCCCGTTTTTCATTAAGATCGGTCAGCAACGGTGGCGAGGGACCATCGTTACTGAGCCGAAGCTTCCCTAACTACCATATGTTCTTAACAGTGTTACATTGTAGTCGAGCTTTCTTTTTATGTTCAATCTCTTTCACATTCAAGCACTTGATTTCAACAAGATAGTCTTAATTAATTAGTAACTGCTGTCTGAATACTGTCACTTGAACCTTTTTACGTTGTATGGCCCTTAAATTATTGTCGCCCAACCACTACTCCTATACGCAAACACGACATACGGAGTATAGTACTATACCAGAGATACCGGAAAGGTCCTCTAGAGATTGCCGTGTTCCATCTTTGTTCCATCCTCGTGAAGATGGAGATATAGCCATTTTTACCATGTTTCATAGAGCGAAGATGGAGACAACCAATTTACCATGTTCCATACGGAGACCAACTTTACGTTGAAGATTACTAGCTAGCTACTCTCTTCACCATACGCCAACTAGAGCATATTCTTTTATCATTTACATGGCGCTATATATACACACGCGGAGCTACAAAATTTCTTGTCCCAATTCGAAGGTGGTGTTCAATGCACCATCCTCAGGCTGGGCATATCATCTGGTGCGGCGAGCAGCTACCGATGGAACCGAGCTTGAACATCTCCTCGAAGCATCCTACGGAGGGCACTCGCGGCGGAGGCACCGCCGCCGGCAGCGTCTCCGCGGGTGCTGCCGCCACCGCGTCCTCTACGTGGCGCACGCCCTCTCCTGCACCCGGCGCGGCCGCGTCGTCGTCCGCCTGTGCAACATTAATAATCCTGATGATGCCATCTTCCCGCGCAGCGGTCGTCAGCTCCTGAAGCGGCGGCGGCGGCGCCACCATCGGAGGATCGTCCTCGTGCTCGACGGGGCGGTCGCGGCGGCGCCGGGCGCGGATGCACTCCGGCCGCACGACGGGCACTATCCGGATGACGAGCCGCCCGTCGTAGGTGCGCGTCCGCCTGAGCGCGCCGCGGGCGACCAGCGACGGGATGGGCGGGGGCAGCCGGCGCCGCGGGCACCGCCGCCCATACGACACCCAGAATCCATCCAGCTCATCTTCCTCTTCCGTTCTCGCCTCTTCCCTATCCTTTGCTTCCATATTATCATCCTCCTTTGCTGTCTCGAGATCCTCGCCGTGCCCAAGGCTGGTTCCGTCGTCGCGTCTCTCTTTGACGTCCTCACGATGATCGCAGCCGTGCGCGGCGACGGCCGCCCGCGTCACGACGCATCCTCCGCTGGTGCCGGCGGCGGCGGCGGCGTCGGGCACGACGAGAAGGGAGCGGAGGCCGGAGATCGGGGCGCTGAATTTCTCGGCGGAGTGGGGCGCGAACAGCAGCAGCATCGGGCGGATCGGATAATGCAATCTGATCGGATAGGATGATTACTGGTGGATGGATATATAGCGCGCCGAAGCCGATCGGGCGGGCGGGCGAGGAGAAGAGAGCCCTCGTCGAGCGCGTGTTGTTGTTCCGAGGGGGTGGGAGGGGGAGATTGGCGCGCGTTTTATACGTGGCGTGGGCGGGCGGGGTCGCGACGTCGCGTTCACTCTTCTATCTCCGGGAAGGCAGGAAGTCGCGGGCGCCCGAGCGTCCGTGACGAGACGAGACGCCTCGCCGCGCGCTTTGCCAAAACGCCCGTGCATGCACCCGGCCAATTAATAGCCCGCCGGCCCGGGGCCGTCCCTCCGTCGTTTCGCACCTGCCCTCGATCGCTCGGACCACGCTGGGCTGGCTGGATCGCCAATTTTTCTAGTGGAACGGAAAGCCGAGCGGCATGGGCGAGGAAGGAACCCGTGGAGCCGCGGCCTCGTACGGATAACGCCCATCGGTTGTGGCAGCAGCCGTTAGATCGGATGGGATCCGTGGGCTGCAACCTGGAATCGCCGCGCGTTACGTGGGCGGACGTGGCAGCTAGCAGGATACGATGCTGTTGATCCGCCCGTGCGGCCGGTGTGGCGGTGCCCAACTGTCCATCTCAAAAGGATCGGCTTCATCCGCCAGACCGCCACCAAAGTCGGCCCCTCATAGATGAACAAGAAGGTATTGGATACTGAAACCGTCAAACGCCTACAGTTCAGAGGTAGGCTCTGAATGAGAGGGGGCTCGTGACAGGCGGCTGGGTCACGGGCTACGAGTCAACCAACGGCCGGGGTCCCGCCAGGTGCGCTCTGTTCTTCGCTTTCGTCTGATCGCCGGCCTGGTTGCAGAAAACTACCGCAGCTCGATTTCTAACTAAACTACTAAAAAAACATGTCCGAAACTTACACACTGTTCTTCAGCACTATCAGCATTTTTCAGTAAACGATTAGTGTTTTACTCTCACCATAAATCAGTATAAGTATCAGTAAAAGCCAAATTTCAGCGAAACGAATAGGGCCTAAATTTCTGGTAACGCGTGGTTCATGTCATGACACGTGGTTCAACTCAAATGCCACTATGTGTTGGAAACCATCAGCCGAACAGCTCCGAGACCGAATCGTTGGCTAGTGGTCACCAAGACCGAATCACTTGATAGCAAGATGTTATGAACTAAGGCCTACTTAGGATCTTTTGAATTAAATTCATTTTAATAATCATAATATAGACATATATTAA